TCAAAAGCTTTATCAGTGAAAAACAGTTGTAAATAATTTAAACCTCACTTAATTCACTGTTTTTGATTGATGTGAAGTAATACACATATGATCTATCCACTCCTCTAGCAAGTAGACTCAGGGTACCTTTAACTGCAGGCATCCAAACAATGCTGCAATGCATTACTTTCTTACATATACCTCATGAACCTGTGTGAGAACAGAGAACTAATCTCTATTTGCATATTCAGAAAACAGACTGTGGGTCAAAATGAAGTTTATCAAATAAATGATGAAGTGTTAAACTGCTCTCCAGATTGCTACACTAATATACACACCTTTGATGTTACCATTTCCTGTGTCCCAGCCAAGATTTGGCATTATCCAGCTTTGATTTCTAACATGTGTTCTAGCCTAATGGACATAAATTAAAACAATGTTTTAATTTAGATTTTTCTTATTACTGATGAATTGCAGCATTCTTCATGTGTCTTGTACAAATTCTCTGTTTCCTTTGCCTATGTTTCTGTTGGGGTTTCTGTCTTGTTGGATTGAAGGAGTTCTATTTATATTTTAAATATTAATTCACAGACAGGTTTAGTTATTTGTAAATATATCTTCACCCATAATTTAAACTATCCATTAACAATATCCATGTATCTGTGAACTGGAACCTATAATTCTGTATCATCATGTTAATAATTTTTTTCATCTTATGGTTTCATGATATTGAGGTACTACTGATTAAAGAACTGCTTTCCTAAAGGCTGAACACCACTTATCTGAAATGCCTAGAACCATAAGTATTTCAGATTTCTGATTTTGGAATCTTTACAAATACATAACAAGATATATTGGAGGTAGGATCTAAAGCTAAACATAAAATTCATTTACATTTCATGTATACCTTATACACATAGACTGAAGGTAATTCACATATTACTATTAATAATTTTGTGCATACAACTAAGTTCCTTGGTTTGGCATTTTCTATTTGTGGCATCATGTTGGTACTTAAAAAGCTCCAAATTTGGACACATTCTGGATTTTTAGACTAGGGATGCTAAACCTGTACTAAGTTATAACTTAGGTTTTATTAACTTTATAGTTTTATTTATACTGTTTTGCCATTAATCCATGTGAGGTTCTTCTTTATAAAGAGTAATAGCCAATTTTACGTTTCTCCATAGAGTGAGCAAGTTTTCCCATACCATCTACTAAACAGTTAATACTTCACCAATCTTTTTTTGGTACTAAGGACTAAACCCAGGAGTGCTCATCCACTGAGCCACATCACATCCCCAGCCCCTTTTATATTTTGTTTAGAAACAGGGTCTCACTGAGTTGGCTAAGTGCCTCACTAAGTTGTTGAGGCTGGTTTTGAACTTGCGATCCTCCTGCCTCAGCCTCCCCAGCCACCACAGTGCCAGGCTGTGATGGCATTTTTTTTTTTTTTTTTTTAAAGAGAGAGTGAGAGAGGAGAGAGAGAGAGAATTTTTAATATTTATTTTATTTAGTTCTCGGCGGACACAACATCTTTGTTGGTATGTGGTGCTGAGGATCGAACCCGGGCCGCACGCATGCCAGGCGAGTGCGCTACCGCTTGAGCCACATCTCCAGCCCCATGTGATGGCATTTTTATCTTACTAAATTTTCATGTGAGTGGCTGTATTATTCCAGTGGTCTATTTGTCTGTTCTTGTGCCAATACCATAGTTTTCACTTTTATTAGGGTGCTTTATCGTGTTGTCTGGTTGGGCAGAGCAAGTTCCTTTATTTTTTCTAAGTTAACTTAAACTTTCATGAATATATTTATTTTGCAATAATTTTCTACCCTTGAAAACTGTCAATACTGAAAGAAAAGAAAACATATCTAGTGCCCTATATAAAGCAAATAATCAAATATCTGTTAGCTAAGATACCCCCAAATGACTTCCTTGAGAGACATGAATAACATGCTAAAAACATAAATCAGTGTGTTATAAGGTTCTGACAAGCTACATCAATGAACTAAATGAAGAAACACAGTAGGAGCAACTATACTATCAAAATACTTTTATGTTTGAAAACTTGAATTGCAATAAGAACCAATTAGATCTAATTTACCCATTGCTTTTGAGAAAAGAGGATTTAGATGACTACAAGTCCAAAATGAGCTAATAGTGTAATGTGGCCTCCTCAAACTTAAAGAAACCAGGTTGCATATATTTAAAGTGCCCAGATAGGGCTAGGGATGTGACTCAAGCGGTAGCGCGCCCGCCTGGCATGCGTGCGGCCCAGGTTCAATCCTCAGCACCACATACAAAGATGTTGTGTCTGCCGATAAATAAAAAATAAATATTAAAAAATTCTCTCTCCCTCTCTCTTTATAAAAAAATAAAATAAAATAAACAGGGTGCCTTTAAAAAAATAAATAAATAAAGTACCCAGATAATAAGACAAATATTACATAATCATTTTATATTTTGGAGTACTCAGTTCAATCTGGGGAATTTTTTAAACCCTAAACATTGAAACATAGCTAGAAGGTGGCAATCCTGATAGAAGATCATATGATATGATTAAAAATAAATCAAATTAGAAACTTTCAGTCTGGACTAGGAAAGACACAAAATTATGAAGTTTGGCTATTTCAATGAAATATGAGATGCAAAACTAGGCAGAAATCTATCTTGTATGAGAGGACAGGGTTAGGAAATTGTTGAAAAAATTTAGGAAGCTAAATTTTGGAACAAAAATTTCCAGTTTTCTAACCATCATAGTTATTCAAAAGTAGATTATATTACCTTATGAAATACCTTAGTTCGTCCTTGCTAGAACCATTCAAAAACCATCTATATAATCAATTTTGGGGAAGATATATAAAGATCACAATAATTTTCATAATCTTCTCTGATAGCAAAATTTAATTATAAGAATACCAAATAATGAAACATGCTAGATTTTATTACAAGATCAGATATAGAAACTCTTCTATGAATAATTACATTGACATTTGCCAAGTATACTACAGAGCCTAAATTCTATAGCAATTCTTGGCAATTTTTAAAAAATATTTTTTAGTTGTAGTTGGACACAATACCTTTATTTATTTATTTTTATGTGGTGCCAAGGATTGAACCTAGGGCCCCACACTTGCTAGGTGGGCGCTCTAGCACTGAGCCATAACCCCAGCCCATACTTGGCAATTTTAACACTCAACAACTCTTAAGTTCCCACAGAAATTGGGGTGTAGTTCAGTGATAGAACAAGTGCAGCCCTAGATTTACTCTCCAGTATAAAAAAAAAACCCAAAAAACTAAATAGGTTAGTTTAGTTTTTAGCTACAAAGGGAATCAATCAGTTTTCATGAGGACCAACCATTACTATGTATCTCCACTTTAACTCCTTATTAGTGTGATATAATTAACTGACATATTTAGAATTTTAGTGAAATTTTAGTAGGCAAGACAATAAAATGACAAAACCAGGAATTTAAAATTCTTAATCCTAATCTTAAAAGATACTGTTATTGAAATGTTCATCAGGCAGGCATAGGGAACAAGAGGAAAACCCTCTCTACAACAGTCATGTATCCAGCTGCCCAGTAAACTACAACAGCAGAATTACTATTGATTATGAAGAAAGTTTGAAATGGGAAACTGCCCACTTGAGAAAACTTTGAAGTATGTGGTAATGTAAGTACCAGAGAAGCAATAAACAGACATCAGTTTTTAGTCCCACTTTGCCACTCAATTGATATGAGTTACTCAATCAGACTTGAATTTCTTTCTTTTTTTTTAAAATATTTTATATGGCTTTTAGTAAATATGCTCTATTTTATTTATTTATTTATTTATATTTTTTAAAGAGAGAGGGAGAGAGGGAGAGAGAGAGAATTTTAATATTTATTTTTTAGTTATCTGCGGACATAACACCATTGTTTGTATGTGGTGCTGAGGATCAAACCCGGGCCGCACGCATGCCAGGCGAGCGTGCTACCACTTGAGCCACATCCCCAGCCCCTGAATTTCTTTATATTTAAAAATGCTCCAGGCAGTGGTGCATGTTTATAATCCCAGGAACACAGGAAGCAGGAAGATCACAATGTTGAGGCCAGCCTCAGCAATTTAGCAAGGCTCTAAGCAACTTAGTGAGACCTGTATCAAAATAAAAAATAAAAAAGGGCTGGGAATATGACTGCATGGTAGAGCCTCCCTGAGTTAAAATTCCTAGTATCAATAAATAAAATAAAAATGAAAATAAAAATGGGACACTAGTCTCAGGAAACAAAGGGGATATTAGTGAACTAATTTCCGAGACAGGGTGTAGTAAGAAGCGAATATTATGATACTACTTTTTCATAAAAATTGAAGCATGATTATCTCACAAATATACTTCAAGAATTATATCAAAGTTTTCCCAGTAACAAGGGGCTGGGGATTTAGCTCAATAGCAGAGAGCTTGCCTAGAATGTGCAAGGCCCTAAACTTGGTCCTCAGACCTGGAAAAAAAAAAAGTTTTCCCAGTAACAAATGGATACACCACAATGTATTAGCATCAATTATAATAAATTAACACTAAGAATTAATTCTAATAATTAACAGAAACTGTTTTCTGTACACTGTAGTTATGAAAGACTAGTCTTTTAATAATAATTTTTATTATTAACATAGGCAAGGTAGAACAAAAAAGTGTGCATAACTGTACCTGGCTAAAATATTTTAAATTCTGTTTTATTTCATTTCCAGTACTGGGGTTTAACCCAGGGCTTAATTAATATTAGGCAGGCACTCTAACATAGAGCTATACCCCCAGTCTTAAAATAGTTTTGTTTCTAAAACAGTAATTTGGAAAAGAAAATTTAAGTAAATGGGGATGAGAACTTTTAATCACTCTTTAGTCTCTTTTTATTAACAGCCTTAATCTATGGAAGGAAGAATTCTTGCAGAATATAATATAATGCATTCTCTTAGACATTAAGGATCCTCAAGGATTCATCTGCTAATTACTCCAAAAATGGAACCTATCTGAGTATGTTAGGTCTTATAAAGAGCTACAGCCGACCTTCCCACTCTTACCTCAACCACCACTTCCTACATTCTGGTACCAAGTCTTTTGACTCCATCATGCTCTCGTGCATAGACTGTAAAGTAAAATTTAATAGTGATTTCAGTAAGTTCCAATTTACCACCTGACTCATACAGCAGCAAAATGGTAGGAAAGGGAAATTTCAACGTAAAATGAAAAAGAAGAAATTATTTTTCTGTTTTTACTATAAGCTCAGAGATCCACCTTCATCTCATTTTTAGATATCTTTTATTCTCTGCTCCCCAAAGTTAAAATGGGAAATATTATTCTGGTCTACTGAAGAGGACATGAAACAGTATTTCCCCTATAGGTCTATTCATATTAATTTAGCATCCCCAGCAATAAGTTAATCTATCACTATAGCACGGACTTTTGCTAAGCTATAACAAATGCTAAAATCATCCAGAGGTTTATAAAATGCAACTAAAACTGCTGGCAGTCTCTCCTTGTATCATTCCAATCTATAATTTATGTTCAAAACTGTGGTAAGTAGCATAGAAGGTAACTAATGAACAATTCTGTTATCAAGATAATGTCTAAGGGATTGGAGTTGTAGCTCAGTGGTGGAGCACTTGCCTAGCAAATTTGAATCACTGGGTTCAATCCTCTGCACCACATAAAAATAAAATAAATAAAATAAAGGTACTGTGCCCAGAAACTAGAAAAAAATACATATTTTTTAAGAAGATGAAGTTTAAGAGATGCAGTACAGAGAAGAAAGGGGCTATACTTTAGACCACTTCTTTTTTGTGGGAAGTGTGGGGGGGGGTGTTGCTGGGGAGTGAACCCAGAGTCTTGCACATGTTAAGCATGAGCCTCATCACTGAGCTATACCTTCAGCCCCAGATCAAATGTTTAACTTTGCAATAAAATCTATGGCAAACTGGAGCATTTTTTTAATATTTATTTTTTTTAGTTATAGGTGGACACATATCTTTATTTTTAAAATTTTTATGTGGTGCTGGGGATTGAACCCAGCATTTCACGAATGTGAGGTGAACGCTCTCCTCAGAGCCAGAATCCCAGCCCTCAAAATGGAGCATTTTAAGACAAATATTTGTAGTCATTGCGCATTTGAATTTTTTTATAATAACCCACTAGTGTGGTAAACATTTTTGTACTGTACTCACACGTACTAATAGATTACTTCAGATTGAGAAAAAAATTTTAATTTATTTTGGTTTACACCAACAACTCTCTTCTAGAATACTTCTCCTTCAGGCCATGGATGTCTTAATAGCCAACACTAATGGCCTCTTTTCAGCCTTAATATTCTTGGCTTCTTTGGTATTTGCCATTGTGATCAAATATTGTTCCCTGAAAATGACCATCTGAGTTTTGCCTTCTTTGAAATAGCTTCTATCCTGTCCCTAGTCTCCTACCTTTCCACTTTATGTCTTCCAAAGAGAAAGAATGGTATCACCAGAAATCTATTCTCAGTCTTCTTATCTCGACTTTACACATTTCCCTAGCTTTTAACTATCACCTCATGCTGACAAGCCTCAAATCTCAATCTCCACTTTGACTTATCTTCTGAGCTCTTGGCACTTAGTTCCAAGTGAACTGCTCCATTTTAATGTTCTTTGTGCAATTCAACCTCTAAATATCCAAAGCAAAATATTAAAAAACCTGTTCCTTTCACAATCTGTATTTCTGTTAAAGCTATCACCACTGCACAAGCTAGGAATTATGAAGCCATTCGTATTTCTTCCCTTTCCCCATGGACTTAAATCATTCTTTCTTTCTCTAAATATTGCAGCTAGGGCTAGGAGTATGGTCAGTAGTAGAGCATTTGCCTAATATGTGTACAATCCTGGATTGCATCCCCAGCACCGCCCTAAAAAAGCATCTATGCCATCCTTTTACCCCACTGTTGCCACTATCTTAGAACTCATTACTGCTAATCCAGAAAAATTTAAAGTACGTACCAGAGGTACCCCACGAAATATTTGTTTAATTTTCATCTAACAATTAGAAATAAAGATTTGTAGCCCAGCATGGTGGGAATCCCTGCTCCCTGGGAAGTTAAGGCAGAAAGATCATAAGTTCCAGGCCATTCTGAGCAACTTAGCAAGACCCTGTCTCACCCACATAAATACAGTTATCTCATAAAAGACAAAAAAGCACTATAAACATACACTGAAGAAAAGACAGCCTCTTCAACAAATGATGCTGGGAAAAACTGGAAAACCATATGTAGCGGAATGAAATTTAACCCCTCTCACCCTGAAAAAACTCAAAGTAGATCAAGGACCTAGGCATTAGACCAGAGATCCTGTCCCTACAAGAAGAAAATGTAGGCCCAACTTTCCATCATGTCATCTTAGGAAATGATTTCCTCAGCAAGACTCTTAACGCATAAGAAGTAAAAATGCAGAATCAATAAATGGGATGGTATCAAACTAAAAAGCATCTTCATAGCAAAGGAAACACTCAAGAGCTTCAGGAGAAAATCTTTACCACCTGCACCTCAGATAGAGCATTAATCTCTAGTATATACAAAAAATTCAAAACACCAAAACCACAAATAACCCAGTCAATAAATGGGCAAAGGAACCAAACAGGCGCTTGATAGAAGATATATGATCAGTCAACAAATAGCAATTAGAGAAATGCAAATTAAAACTACACTGAGATTCCATCTCACTCCAATCAGTATGGCAATTATCAAGAATACAAGCAATAGGGACTGGGGTTGTGGTTCCGTGGTAGCGTGTTCTCCTTGCACAAATGAGGCACTGGGTTCGATGCTCAGCACCACATAAAAATAAAATAAAGATTTTATGTCCACCTACAATTAAAAAAATATTTTTTTTTTAAAAAAAGAATACAAGCAATAGTAAATGTTGGAGAGGATGTGGGGAAAAGGGTGCACTTATATGTTGCTGGTGGGACTGAAAATTGATGTAACCACACAGGAAAGCAGTATGGAGATTCCTCAGAATCTTGGAATGGAAGTACCATTTGATCCAGTTATTCCACTCCTTGGTATATACATAAAGGACTTATCAGCACACTACAATGATGCAGCTACATCAATGTTTATAGCAGCTCAATTCACAATAGCTAAGTTATGGAACCAATCTAGAAGCCCTTTGCCAGATGAATGGATAAAGAAAATGTGGTATATATACACAATTGAATATTACTCATAAAAAGAGTGACTTTATCACTCTTGCTGGTAAATGGATGGATCTAGAGACTATCATGCTAAGTGAAATAAGCCAATCCCCAAAAAACCAAAGTCTGCGGAGTGCGGTGGCACATGCCTGTAATCCCAATAGCTCGGGAGGCTGAGGCAGGAGGATCGCAAGTTCAAAGCCAGCCTCAGCAACTGCAAAATGCTAAGCAACTCAGTGAGACCCTGTCTCTAAATAAAATGCAAAATAGGGCTGGGGATGTGGTTCAGTGGTTGAGTGCCCCTAAATTCAATCGCCAGTATACCACCCTCCCCCCCCAAAAAACCCCAAAAGGTCAAATGTTCTCTCTGATGTGTGGATGCTAACCCAGAAGGTGGGGGGATGGTGGATTAGACAAAGAGGAATGAAGGGAGGAAGAGTAGGGAGGATGGGGATAGAAAAGGCAGTAGAATTAATTAGATCTAACCTTCCTATGTTAATACATGAATACACTACCAGTGAAACTCCAATCATGTACAACCACAAGAATGGGATCCTAATTATACTTCATGTATGTGTAATATGTCAAAATACACTCTATTGTCATGTATATCTAAACAAAGAAGAAATTTTTAAAAATAGACTGTCTCAAAGATATAGCTTATAGGACATGACTTGCTGCCTGCTTTCCAGTCTTGGGGCCGCACGTGTGGTTGGGATGGCGCCTGGTGATCAGCCAGGAGGCAGTGCTGTGGGTGGTGAAGGAAAAAGCAGACCACCTCCAGGATAGGTTTAGGACTCTTCCGCCTAGGGAGCGGGCCGCCAGTCGACCTTTACCTTTCTTGACTCATCTTGGTCAGGGCGTGCTTTCCCCACTTCTCCTGATAGTCAGGAGGAGATGGGGGGCTAAAAACCCCGACAATAGCTCAGTGGTAGAGTGCCTCTGGGTTTAATAGATTTAATTTAATTAGAAAGGAAGCGAAGGAGGAAAGAAAGAAAAAGAGGGAAATTAAGATTTGCAAAATTCATGAATATGGATTATCATGAGTGTTCTCACTTGGTCCATGTCAGATGGTCATATGTCACACATAATATACCAGGAATCTTGAGAAAATAAGACTTTTGCAACATACAAGAGTTAACAGCCAGGGTAGGATATCATTCAGTGGTAGAGCACTCACTAGTAATATGTAAGGACTTGGGTTCTATTTCCAATATCATTAAAAAAAAGAGAGAGAGTTACAGTGGTGCCACCAATTAGCACATGCATGCTACCATTAACCTGAAAATTTCAAATTATTTAAATATAGTTTTAATAATTTATTTCAAAATTTCTCACTTTTAATTTTTCTATAGTTATATATTAAAATAGTAGTACATGTCTACATAATTTTAAAAATGTGTACATGTATATTTATCTATTTACAGATGAGTACAAGGTCAAATAAATTTCACTTATTAAAAATATGTGATCTTGGGGCTGGGGATGTGGCTCAAGCGGTAGCGCGCTCGCCTGGCGTGCGTGCAGCCCGGGTTCAATCCTCAGTACCACATACAAAGATGTTGTGTCTGCCGATAACTAAAAAATAAAATATTAAAATTCTCTCTCTCTCTATCTCTCTCACTCTCTCTTTTAAAAAAAATGACAAGGAGATACTACTTCATACTCATTAGGATGACGAAAATAAAAAAAAGAGGGCTGGGGTTGCAGCTCAGTGGTAGAGTGCTTGCCTGGCATGTGTGAGGCACTGGGTTCAATCCTCAGCATCATATGTAAATAAATAAAATAAAGGTCAATGAACAACTAAAAAATATTAATAAAATAAAAAGAGATAATAACAAATATTGGTGAGAATGTGGAGAAAATGGAATCCTTGTTCACTATTAGTAGTAATATTAAATGGTATAGTGACCAGGCACAGTGGTGCATGCCTAT